ATGGTATTTGTCTTTTACCACCTGGCTTATTTCACTTAACATAATATTGTCCGGTTCCATCCATGGTGTCGTGAAGTGCAGGAGTTCCTTCTTTCTTTGTGCTGTGTAGTATTCCATGGTGTAAATGTACCAGTTTTTTGAGCCACTCATTTACTGTTGGGCGCTTAGGTTGCTTCCAGTACTCGGCTATTGTAAACAGTGCTGCAATGAACATTGGGGTGCGTAGGTTCTTTTGAATTGGCATTTCAGGATTCTTAGGGTACAATCCCAGCACTGGAATTTCTGGGTCAAAAGGCAATTCCATTTTTAGCTTTTTGAGAAAATTCCATACTGTTTTCCATAGTGGCTGCACCAGTCTGCATTCCCACCAACAGTGTACTAGTGTTCCCTTTTCTCTACAGCCTCTCCACAGCTTGTTGTTTGTTGATTTGTATATGGTGGCCATTCTGACCAGTGTGAAAAGTGTGTGTGTGTGTGTGTGTGTGTGTGTGTGTGTATCTTTTTAATGGTTAAGAACCTTTTTAAAGTTATTTTAAAAATATTACATTCAGTTGCAGTTGTCCCACCTTTCCCCCCTTGCTCTCTGCCTGGTCCCCCTCCCCTGCTCCCATAGTCAATATTTTTTAGTGCAAACATTTTGTTCCGGCAACTATAAAGAGTGCTGGAAGGGCTACTATTTAATGCAAACTGCAGTAATTATGCTAACCTTAACTCCTAAGCCTCAGGAAGTAATGTCCCAAATTCGGTCTACACTGATTTTTACTTTGGCAAGTTCTCTTCTGATTGGGTATAATTTGTTCTATATTGTTGTACAACTCTGTTTAGGTTTATAATATGAGATTAAAAATACATTTTGATTTTTAAGGAAATAAATAAATGGGCCTCCAGTCAGGGCATAGTGCAATTTATTTCCTGTGATATTGAAACCTTGTACTGTTTCTCTTTCTTTTTCCTTAACACATACTTTTTGTTCTAGAGCAAGATTTGCCTTTGTTTATGTAGTTAAGGTGTTCACCTCTTAAGAAGTATAGTCATAACAGTCCATTAATCTGATAGATTTTAAGATTGTGCTCTTGTAAGAAATAGTGACGAGAGACTGCTGGTGATGATTAGGCGGAATGAAGCCAGAGGTTTAATTAGCGCTAACAGACAGACTTTATCATGTGGAACCTTCCATCTTCAACTTGAGAAAGACTTGACCTTTGCCATGATTACAACAGGATTTGAGTTCATGTTTTCTTTTCTTGCCATGGCTTTCTCCCTGAAATTGGCTAACACACTTCTTTGCATGTAAAATACCTTTGGTACTAAAGTATTCTAATTTAGTTTTTCTTTCTTTCTGGAAAGCACACTGAAGATTGCTTCCAGATATTTTGCATTGGTGAATATAGATTTCTCTAGCAACAGGACACCTATCTAAAATGCCTGAGTTGATTTTTAGAAAATCAATGAAATTTCATTTTCCACATGAAAATATTTATTTTGGAAAATGTATGTTGTTGCACAGCAAGTGGGTAAAGCTCAGACATGCGTTCTTATCCAGCACTTCCTTTCGGGGAGTGATCCAGGGCTGGCTTGCTGTGGCCCTCCCTGCTGCTTTCCTGAAACAGCTGTAATGAGCTGAGTGCCGTCACAGGTAAGCTTTACTAATAATAAAACAGGACATTTATAAATGATTTACTTTTTAAAATATAAGTAAGTACCTATAATGCCATCATTCAATTTCTTCCTTTCACTATGAGAAGGAAAAAAAGATTGTTAATCTCAGCCTCACCTTTTAACCATCTGATGCTGCCTGACATGAATGAACTCCAATTGATGTGATATTTGGGAAGTTACACTGCCTTTTCCTCATCCCTAAAGTTTGGTATTGTATTGTTTGTAAAAATTGGAGCATGCCACCAAAGGGTTTTTCCATGAGAATATCATCTCCCTCCCACCTCAAAACAAACAAAATAAAAACAAACAAATAATAGTCATTGCTTTGAAAAAGTGCTGTCAGAGTTTAATTAAGCAGTCTAGCTAATTGCCTTTCATAGTGATAGAGCTTTGGCTAATACTTCACATTTGGTGGTTTCTCCAGAAAGGATCCTGAAAGACACTACTGAGTTGAGAATGCATGGGGGTTGGGTCGGGTGTTCTCGCTAGTCACAATGCTGTGGTTTAGACAGAGCAAGGCTGCTTTACTGCTAGGCTGTAAGCCACCTCGTTTCATCTTCTCCCTGCCTTTCTTCCTAGCCCCCTTAGGATGGAAAGAATGCCTGTAGCCTCTGTTAGTTTTGTAATTGCCACAAGTGATGTCAGTCCTGATTACCAGTATGTCAGACTCCCTTTCTCAGACAAGGGGGGTCAGCTCCCCAGTGAAGAGTGGAAATGAACTTGATGTGGATGCAGGAGGCATCGTAACCCTGGCTCAGCAAATTGACCACAATTGGGTTACTATTAAATACAACAACAACAACAAAACTTTAAGCCAATGTGCTGGTAAAAAAAAACAACGGGTTACATAACTCACTGAAGCAGGTTTGGGTTTCTTCTGGTTCAAGTTTTCTTGCCTCTTTGATAATCAAACGATCTGAAGAAAGGCATAGAGTTTCAGGGGAGAAGCTGCATGATGGGCTCACAATAGAGCCATTTACAAAGGGCCCTTTTAGTAGCTTACACAGTATCTGCATCATTCTTAGTCTCTGGCTTTACTACAAGGCTCCATTTAAACTTAACCCAACTTGCACACTTAACTGATCCAGGAATTACTCAATATAACCAGCCAGCTACTGTAGCCTTTTTTCCCGTTTGATAAGGGGATGTAATACAATGTGCTTTACAGTTCTTAAATGACTCCATTTTCCCCGTCTTTCAGATGTGGTGTTGTTATGACCTTTTGTTCTTAATAAAATTTCACGTGGTTTGATTATGTTTTTTTAAAGTATAAACAAACACAATATTGATGCCCTACCCATTGAGTTAAATTTTAAAATCTTGTAGATGATATATAGAGAAGGAACTCATGTGACAATATTTACACAGCTGATTTTAAAAACATTGGACATTATTATTTACTATTAGATATTACTAAATCAGGCCTAAAAATATTTTCTTTATTTTTGAGGGAGGTTTTGATACAATTTCTAGTAGTACTTCAGCATTTCACTTCCACTCTTGCACACTTCTGGTTATCTGCTGGTGTTCATGCTATTTCTAGTAACACAGCACTAACACACTGGCCAGGGCATGCTTGGTTAGTCCCTGCATGGGGGAGAAGAGAGGGCAGAGTCCTGGGAATATGTTTGGTAGCATACCACACTTTGGACCACACCTCAGAATAGTGGCTTTCAAACTATTAGGAACAAAAATTGTCACAATGTTTGATAAAAATGCAGATGCCTGGGCCCCATCCCCAGAGACCATGATTCAGTAGGTCTGGCAAGGGAAGGGGGTGCTGAGAATGTGCACTTTAACAAGCACTGTGTTGATTCTGATGCTGATTGTCGTGGGCCATACTGAGAACCATGATCCTAAATTCACCAGGGAATGTTGGGAACAGTGATATCCCAGCTGTTGGGCCTGTTGCCTCCAGGTGAGTGGGGACCACCTTGGGTGGAGCGCCCCCTGGTGTGATTTCCCAGAGCTGTGGGTGATAGGCAAAGAAAGATGCCTCTAGTACTTGTAGGGTTGAAGCAGTGAGCATCCTTCTCCTGTGCTGCTTGCTTCTGAGGTGGGGCTCCACGGCTGGCATCCCGTTCCCAGGGACATGCCTCACTGGGGGCAGGCACCAGCTGTTTGACAGTGTCATCTCACTCACACCCCAGCCTTGCACGTCATGAGAATTTCAGTGTGATTGTTATCTGCAATATTTATTCCAACTTTGTGTCTCTATCCTCCTCTTCAACCCCTACTCAAGTAATTTTAGCTTTTTAGAAAGTTCTTTTTCCAAAGGATTTCCAATGAGCTATAGGTGCTCAAGAAGCCTTTGGGGAATTATGAATGTAACACGTTTGTTCATTTTATGAAGATGACAGGTAGGGGAAAATGTGCTGATGATACCACTGATGTTCATGGCACTTTGCCTGAGGTGCTGAGTGTGTTCTGTTTGTAGACTCCCCCTCCCCGTGTAGTCAGAGGACTTTTTTATTATGAGAATTTTTATTTTTTAAATTTATTTTTCAATTACAGTTGACATACAATATTACAGAAGTTTCAAGTGTACAACATAGTGATTACATATTTATGTAACTTGTAAAGTGATCCCCCCAATAGTTTAGTACCCACCTGGCACCATACATAGTTATTACAATATTATTGACCGTATTCCCTATGCTGTACTTTACATCCTCGTAACTATTTTGTAACTATCAATCTATACTTCTTAATCTCTTCACCTTTTTCACCCAACCCCTGACAGCCATGCCATTTGGCAACTGTCAGTCTGTTCTCTGTATCTATGATTCTGTTTTTGTTTTGCTTATTTCTTTTCATTATTAGATTCCACATATAAGTGAAATCATGGTATTTGTCTTTCTGTTTGACTGCTATCAATTAGCTTAATACTGTCTATGTCTATCCATGTTTTCACAAATGGCAAGATTTCATTCTTTTTAATTGTTGCGTGATATTCCATGGTATGTATGTACCACATTTTCTTTATCATTTATTGATGAACACCTAGGTTGCTTCCATATCTTGGCTATCATAAATAATACTGCAACAAACATAGGGTGCATCTGTCTTTTTGAATTAGTGTTTTTCATTTCTTTGGATAAATACCCAGATGTAGAACTGCTGGGTCACAGAACTAGAGAATATAGCTCCCCTACAGGCATCATCTAGTTTCCAGAGTTATGAAGATTTATCATATTTGGGAGCAGCTTTTTGTTTTTTCTTAAATGTTGCTTGTGGTTTTTCTAATTGGTTTAGTTTTGGAAAGAATAGAACTTGAGAGGCTTTGCTCAGGGCCTGAGTGCAGTGGTCCATGAGTAGTGATCTGTGTATGTCCTTGTCAGGAATGTGTTCCAGAAGACCTGGAACTGAAAAAGAAGATTTTTGCTCAGTTAGATGGAATCATCGGTGATGACGTTGTCCTCAGCAGCTCCACCTCGTGCCTCTTGCCTTCTGAGCTGTTTGCGGGGCTGGTGCACGTGAAGCAGTGCCTTGTGGCTCATCCTGTGAGTATATCAAACGTGGAGATTGAACACATCTCATTCTGGTTTGGGAGAGCAATACATTTTATTTAATCTACTAGTATTTTTTAACTGTTTTGTTAAGATGTAATTCATATATCTCACAATTCAAATTGTACAACTTAATGGTTTTTAGTATATTTAGCTTGTGCACTATCAGCAGTTTTAAAAGGAATTTTCTCCAAAAATTTTTTGGATTATATCTGCATACCTAATGCATAATGGGACAGAACGAGCAATCCTTACAGACTTTTACCCTCAGGTAACTCACTGTTCAACCAAGGAGAAAGGACAGTAAACTAATAATTCCCCTATCAAAGAAAAAGTCCACATTAAGATAATGTGTACACTGAGTAGGATTTTATAGACCTGTAACTTACACTTTGTAGTTTACTGTGTAGGATGAGTTTTGCTAAAATGCAGATTCTGAGCCTCACTCCTCAGATTTCAGTTCAGCAGAAACCCTCCCTTCTTGTCAGTCCTGTCCCATCGTTGTAATTTACCTGGACAAACTTACTAGATGTGCATTATGAGGCATACTGAATAATGAGTTTAACGTTACCATGCAAGCACCAAATAAATCTTCTTGAGATTAATGTGTTAGTATGAGCAATCAGAGAGGGGAGTCATGCATGGATCACCTGATAGATGTTTGAGTTCCAACTGTGACCTCAGGATGACCCTGGAGAACCCAGATGATCTGTTAGGACAGAAAAGCTAGCTTAGCTCAAGTCATCAGAAGTATGACAGTATAAGATGATGGCCAAACCTTTGGCACCATCAGGCCATTAGAGGTTAAGGCTTGGGAGAGAGAGGCTACACCAAGAACCTGGGCAGACCAGGTATAGTCTGGTCAGGCGTATGAGAGAGAGGAATTTTTTGAGTCTGAGAAAGAGTGTAAGAAAGGCCCTAGGCCAAAAACAAGTATGGGGTGTGTGGAATCATGAGGGGGATCAGCTGGACTGGAAGAGCATCTATACCTGGGAAGCCAGAGGGAAAAGTGGGAAGTCTTGGGACGAGTTGGGTTGTGGAGAAACAGAGTTACTCTGAGGAACTGGGACAGGCTCAGGTACAGAGCCACATGGTAATATGGTGCAGACACTGCCTTTGGAGAGTAGTCTGAAGGTGGCTCGGAGAAGGGCAGCCACTTCACAGAACCTGGAACAGCATTCCATGCATGATTGACCACAGGGGAGGCTGGGGCCCATGAAATTGAGAGCAGGGAAGTTCTTTCTGAGCAAAAGTGGTCTAGAGTCAGGAGGTCCCAGGGTCAGGGAGGTAAAGGAAAAGAGTGAGTCACAGATGAAGGCTAGATTTTATATGCTATGAGGGACAGCTTAGACCACCCCTTACAGGACTGTGTGGTTTGAGATGTCTAGATGTCCTTTTACAGAAGTATAATGGAAAGTGTGAAGAGTGACTATGAAATGAGACTTGGACCCATAGAACATGGAATCAAACCAGTCATATTTACTTATCATTAAATACAGGTGTATTAGCACCAACAGGACCTCAAGACCACGTCCCATGAACCACGAAACCATGAAGCATGTCATGTCTTTGCTTTTGTGACATTTACATGTCCATAAAAACCCTTAGAAATCAGAAACCACTTATTAGATTGTTACTCAATTGCTTCATTGAAGTTCAAGCAATGAAACTTACTCTTGCTTGAAAGCTTGTAATGTTTAACCAGCGTTTTTACTTCTGAAGCAGTTTAGAAGAAAAACTAAATCAAATTGTTCAGAAAATACCTCCTAAATCCTTTGACAGGACTTGCTCAGTGTCACTAATCATCAAGGAAATGCAAATCAAAACCATAATAAGATATCGCCTCACACCTGTTAGAATGAATATCATTCATAAATCAACAAACAAGTGCTGGCGAGGATGTGGAGAAAGGGGAACCCTTTTGCACTGTTGGTGGGAATGCAGAGTGGTGCAGCCATTTTGGAAAGCAGTATGGAGATACCTCAAAAAATTAAAAATAGATCTATCATATGATCCAGTGATCCTACTTTGGGGTATTTTACCCAAAGAAATCCAAACCAGTAATTTGAAAAGATATAGGCACCCCTGTGTTCATTGTAGCGTTATTTACAATAGTCAAGATACAGAAGCAACCAAAGTGCCCATCAGTACACAAAAGGATAAAGAAGGTATGGTCACACATATAGAATGGAACATCACTCGGCCATAAAAATTGAAATCTTGCCATTTGTGACAGCATGGATGGACCTAGAAGGCATTGTGCTAAATGAAATATGTCTGGCAGAAAAGACAAATACCATATGATTTCAAAACAAATGAACAAACAAAACAGAAACGAATTCAAAGAAACAGAGATCAAAGGGATGATTGCCAGAGGAGGGGGGGTTGAGTGGAGGTGAACAGGGTGAGGGGGATATAGTCATAATACTATGGTAAGTTTACATGGTGACAGGTAACTACCAGAATTAGTGGGGTGATCATGTTGTAAGGTATAAAAGTGTTGAATCACTTTGTTGTACACATGAAACTAATATAATCAATATGAGATTGTATACCAAGTATACTTAAATAAAGAATAATTTAAAGGAGACTTTTATCGCATCTGTTCCGTTTTAAACTACCAGTGGGTGAACTCATGCCTTACTTTATTCTTTCCCACCAACACATTACCTCTGACTAGTTGCTTGGTCAGTGACTATTGAATAATAATGACATTTCTCTTCTTCAAACCGTTTCAATATTGCTTGGCTTTACTCATTTACTCAAAGACAGACAGCATAGTCAAAGTCAGTCCAGACATCATTGTAAAAACTATCTTCTCATTACTTTTATAAATTATTTTAAATGAAAACTGACATTACTAGAGCAAATCAAATCACCCAGGTTGACCGTCTTTAGAATTTTACCACCTTTTTCTTCTGTGCTGGTGTCACCTACCTTTGGATCATTCCACTGACCTCTGGAAAGGACAAAAAGCATCTTGGACAATTCAATTTTAGCTGGCCTGGCAGTACCTACAGAACCCAGAATATTGGTCACCTTTGAGGAGCTACAGGGTTTTCTGTTCAGCTTTGCTGTCCAGACAGAAGTGGCTCAGAGTGTCAGCCTACAGGCCACTGCCCTCAGCTCGCTGCTCATCACTGGGATGCTCTGCACCGACGGGGAATAGGACATATGAAGAGGAAACTTATTCATGCCCTGAAACACTGTCGCCTCCACCCTTCCACCTGCCAGCCAGTTTTGACATCACACATGTTCTTTTGGGCACCTTTCTGGTGGGCATCTCAGCACTGGTGGAGGGTAATGCTCTCTCAGCTCCCAAGTAGTTGAAAATGGGATTTAGAGGGGGAACAGTAACAGGTACAGAGGGGCGAAGATACAGCCGTTCTCCAGATCCTGACATTCTTCCTATCTGATGTTTTTATGCTTTTCCTTATCTGCCCGTCCTCCTGCAGAGGTGTAGAGGGCTTGGGGATGGCCATTTGGCAGTGGGGAAATATTTGCTAGTGACCCTCTGGAGGTCAAGTTTGGTACAGTCTCTCTTGGCACTTAGAATCTACATCAGATTCCACAAAAACAGCCCAGGTTTGCACTGAGGATTTCAGCCACACTTTAATAAAGGCTTTCCCTTTTTTCTTCCTTATTCCAGTTGGGGATATAATGGTTCCATGGAGCTTATGGGGCCTTGTGAGTGCACCCAGTGCTCTCAGTGCCACCCTGCTGCTGAGCTGGAAGGACGCATGTCGGTCCACAAGGATTTCAGCCCTGAGCGGGGAAGCAGCTTCCAAAGGCACAGCTCTAACTTCAGTACCAGGCTAGAGCTGGACTGCCGCTGGGACTCAATCAGGCTGGCCTGCACAGGCGCCCAGGGGGCTCCCACCCAGCACTCACTGCCATGCATGCACCTCCTCTGCCTCATTCTCCCTCCTGGCCCTGAGCCTGTTTGTTCTCGTGTGGTGGTCACTGAAGCGTTGCACTCTGGGTTTGCTGTGTGCGGAGGGGTGCATGCCTGTGTCCCACATACTGCACAGTACTGCCTGTTCCATATTTCCAGCTTTCTAGTCATAGGGGCTGCCTTTATTTTTTGGCTCTGTGTAGGGCAAGTTCAGAAGGTGGGTGGTTGTCACTGATGAAAGGACTTCACTGTGTAAATTTTCAAAATACTGAGAGATGAAATGCTCTGAACCAGCTATAAACAAGAACCCCTTCGTTTTTGCACCCATGTCGTAAGAGGAAGAGGAGTTCCACCTGGACAAGAGTGCCCCCACCGTTGGGGGGGTGAGTGGATCTTCTGGAGAAGGGACAGCCTGCCTTTCCTGTGTGAGGTTAACGTCTTTAATCAGCTGCAGAGAGAATAAACAGGCCTCTGTGTCTGGGCTGTGCTATCGCCCGATCACATGCCTCTGGCTCGGTTCCAGATTCAGGCAAGGCTTTTCACGAGGTGAATGGAGAAGGGCCCCCGTGCCACCCAGCTCAACCTGAGCTCCCAGACAGTCCCCTCTTGTGCGTTCAGCAGGGCTCAGCCTGGAGACCATTGTGGTTAACCTTTAAAGACATCAGCTTCTTTTCTCCTTTGTTTCCCCATTTCTTTTTTTTTTTCCTTCAAGTTTTTAAAAATGTTCACCTGAGGATATGTTTATTGAGAGAGAGGAAGGCGGAGAGAGAGAAACTTCGATAGGCTTCCTCCCGTATTTGCCCTGACCGGGGAACTGAACCCACAACATTTTGGTATACGAGGTGATGCTCCATCAACTGAGCCACCCGGTCAGGACCATTTTTCCCACTTCTTGAGGGCCTGTTTCTCTATCTTCCTCATAAGCTGACAGCAGCAGGCCTGTCCTGCATCCCTGTCAGAAAGGGAAGAATATCTCAGAAAGTAGCCATTCTTTCCTGTTTAGAGGAATCACTTACATTGGTTTTCTCTCTTCTTCCTTTCTCTCATCTAAACTACCTTAAATTTAAGGGGCACCTGTCATGATTGTCAGGATCCTCCTCTGAGCCTTGAATAGGATAAATTTCCTGTTTCAGGAGGAGGTCCTGTGGCAAGAATGACCTCAGGCTCCTTTCTCAGCAGCCTATCAGCTTGAGCCTGGGGACACAGCAAAGAGCCAAATCATGTAGTTGTGGCTTTTATAGTGGGTGCTGGGGAACAGCTGCAGAATTCTGTGCTGGAGGTGGTGTGATCAGCGTCCTGCTTTTAATTTTTTTAAAAACATTTTCATTGTGATAAAACACGCATAACATAACATTTACCATCTGAACCATTTTAAGTGTTCAGTTCAGTGACATTAAGTACATTCACTCTGTTGTGCAACCGTGACCACCATCCAATTTGAGAACTCCTTTCATCTTGCAAAACTGAAACTCTGTCACCAGTAAACAACTCCCAATTTCCCTCCCAAAGCCCTTGGCAACTACCATTCTTTCTTTCCCTATGGATTTAACAGCTCCACCTTATAAAGGGTCACCCTGGCAGGGGCAGGGAGGCCAGTGAGGAGAGGGGAGTGCCAGCACTCAAGTTGGAAGTGATGGCCTGAGCCAAGTGTATAGCAGAGGGAGTGCTCTTTTGAGAGATGTGAGTATAATTGAGTGGACTTTTGTCACTGATAGAAAGTAGGGGAGGTGAGGGAGAGGCAAGGACCAAGGATGCTTCTTGTGGTACTAAGTTGGGTATTCTTATCAAGATAGGGAGCTAAGAAGAGGAACGTGTGTTGGGATGGGGAGATTTGAGATTAATTTATGACAGGTTGTAAGATGCCCAAGGGAAGGTATTCAGTACACAATTGTAAATGTGGGCCTGGAGTGGGAGGTGTGTTCCATGTGAGGTCTCAGCATCATGGTGGCGCTGATACCCTGACAAGCCCTCCTGAGAGGCCAGGGATGCAAACTGGAGCACCATCACTCAGAGATAGTGTGGGCAGGAGGAGAGCCTACAAGGAGGATGGAGACCAGAACTAGCAAATTTATGTAATGTTTTTTATCTGTTTTTCTCCACTTGTGTTTTGCTACATGAAGCTTACAACTCTGAAGAGACCGTAAGCTCAGCATCCCTGCTGCACAGTGACATAAAGTTCATCGGACACAGACGTGCTTCCGTTTCTTGTAATTCTGATCTTTGAAAAGGCAAGATGAAAACTTTTTTTTATAAGAATTCAATGATTAAGACAGGAGACAAGTGACTCAAGTGAGGCATTGATTTAATTTATTTGAAAACAGGTGCCATCCTCTCTCACTTTCTTTTTATTTATTTTTTATTGATTTGAGAGAGTGAGTAAAATATTGATTTGTTATTCTACGTACTTATGCCTTCATTAGTTGATTCTTGTATGTGCTCTGACCAGGGATCAACCCACAACCTTGGCATATTGGGACGATGCTCTAACCAACTAAGCTACCTGGTTAGAGCATCTGCATTTCTAAGAGGGTGAAGGGAGTGTGACCAGGACAGGCCAAGAACAGGAACCTTTGAAGTATAGCTGTGTGTGGATGAGCCACCTCTTCTAGGCAGTGTTCTAGGAGAAATATATTTTCTTTTCCTTTTCTGTTGTGTCATTTTAAAATGGATGCTTCTTGTTTTTTGGTAATAGGAGATTCTACCAATTTTTACCCATGTATAGAGGAAAAACAACCTACAAGCAGCACTTGGGAAACAGTTTACTGCAGTGCATTAAGCTAGTTGGGTTGTGTTAAGCGATTCTGTCTTTAGACATCTGATAATTCTCTGGTAATCTTCAAAGTCAACCAAGAAAACCAAAGCCCAATGTTTCAGTGCTGGCCTAGCCACGCATTTCTGTCAGGACCTGATCCTGAGGACAGGCCCTCCTGTCCCAGACCGTGAACCCAGGTCAATACTATGGTTGGGTTCTGGGGCTGTGCAATGTGTAGCTGAGATCCAAATGGGGAGGCTGATGTTTAAGACTCAACATGGGAAGGTTAAGGAAACACCACGTTTTGGGAAGATGCTGTCAGTTGTGTCTAACGGACACAGTAGCATTACAGGACCTGCAGTGACTGTCCTGGGAAGACATGACTCAACAGGGGTGTCTGGGATTGATGTAAAGTCTACACAGCTATTAGCATTGAAAGCCCCTAGAGGTCAGGGGTTTGGTAATGGATAGGATGGTAGTCTGAACCTCCAGATTTCAACTCCTACATTGGTCATGATTCTTTAAACAAAACCATACAGTCTGGTGCTGGGGTACCTTTTTTTCCCTCTCTCTGTTGTGAACTACTCTGTTTCTCAACAGATTTGCTGAGTCCAGGGGCCTTTCCAGTAAGGGATCTGCCTGTTTGACCACACGATATAGGTGAAAGGGGTCTGCAAGAACGATGCACAAACTTTGGAGCTCTGTTGACTGTCTCCCCTCCTGTGTCTCATAAGGTAAACCCGCCATATTATGTCCCGCTGGTGGAGCTGGTCCCGCATCCAGAGACAGCCCCTGCAACAGTGGATAGAACCCATGCCCTGATGCAGAAGATCGGACAGTCCCCGGTCAGGATCCTGAAGGAGGTCGATGGCTTTGTCCTGAATCGCCTGCAGTTTGCGGTCATCAGTGAGGCCTGGCGGCTGGTGCAGGTGCGCAGGCTGTGCTGACCAGTGGGAATAGTTGTAGGGACACTCTGAGGGAGGGCAGATGCAGGGATAAGTAGAGGGTGGGAGCAGGGATAAGCAGAGGGCCGAAGTCGGAATGGTCTGAATGGAGAGCGGAAGCCTGGCCAGTGTGAGTGGAAGTGAAAGTGGGGATGAGCGAGGGGCAGAATTGGAGGTGGTTTCTAGCCAAGAGTGGAAGCAGAGCAAAAACAGCTTCCTAGCTGCCTTAGCTGTGGGAAGTCAGCGCTCAGGTCTTCTTACTATTTCTGGAAACTGACAGCCAGCTGTCCTCTCAGGTGTAGTGAAAAAGCAACAAAAATAAACCATCAGTGTAGTATTCATTGTTTCAAAGTCACTCTGTTACATGGAATCATCTGATACCGGACACGATGATGGACTTTTCTGCCCCTACCTGTCATTGTCACGTAGTTGTCTACAGGAGACATCCTCTATTTCCCATAGACTCAGACTCCATGCCTCCAGTGTTATAATTTTTGGGAGGAAAAAAATTGTATTTCAAGTAAAGTACACGTGTGTCCACTAAAGAAACCAAATTTTTTTCAAGAGCTTGAGGAAGAGAGAATTATAATCCTTATACATGTTAGTAACAGGCTTGTCTTGCATAGAAACAGTCATTATTTATATCTACATGTAACCTCATTCTGTAATTGAAGGATCTTGCATTGACCTAAGAAGTGTCCTCACTGCCCACACTCCCAACCACATTTGTATGGGGACACTGTACCCCAGGACTCAGAGTGCAGGGTTGGGTTTGGGCTCAGGAGGATGACAGCACTGCCACCTGCAGTGTGCCCACTGCTCCTGTCTGACTCCTGTGCAGGCCTGCGGGTCCCAGCCTGTGACAGGAACAAGGACACCACTTCCACAGCTACCCAGTGCAGGGTGCAGTGACCCTCCCACCTCCCTGTTCGGCATTCTGCCACAGCCCTGTGGAGCTCTTCATTGGACCTCATTGCTCAGTACATTTGCCACATGACAGCTGCAACTCTGTGTCTTCACAATTTAAATCTACTTAATTCTTTTATATCTGCAAGAGTTTGGGGTTTCCATCATTAAGTTTGCAGTTTTAATTTCTTAGCAATTGTAGAATGTCTTGAACATCAGTTGGTGGTAGAGTATTTGAAAGAAACGCTGAACTCAGATCACCCACTTGGAGATCTATTTAAATTATTTCTACTTGTCTAGAGTAGGGGAACAATATAATAGACTTAGGAAAAATTCAGTATTACAGTAAAACATTGTGGGAAGTTTTAAGGTAATTTTTACTTTTATTTGTACAGTATCTTAGTGCCCTGAACACAGGAAAAAAAGCTCTGAGTTAAATACTGCTTTCTCCAATCTGAAAGATGTGAGACACCTCAAGGGAAAACTTGGAGAGTCTGGTAAGGGAACTGGGGTGGGAGTCATGCACAAAGGATTCTATTTTGACCTCAAAGTGAAACTGGCTGCAATTTGGAAGCCCTAAGCTTGGAAGAGCCACAGAGGGTTCTGCTGTCCCCTTCACTGGTTGGAGAGGTGGGAAGGTAGAGTGGCCATAGAATGGCTGCTTCGTCAGTTCTTCTCATTGCCTCATTTTGCCCACCTTTCTTTTGACTCTCCTGTCTGCAGGGGCTAGTGGCAGACAGAGTGTGGTCTGCTGGTTTTCAGGGGCGATACACCTTTTGAGAAAGGGAGTCCCACATGTGTCTCTACAGTGGCCGCTGTGGGATTCACGTGCTTGGAGTCCCTGTAGGAACCAAATGCTGAGTGGTTTTAAGGAGATTTTTTCACACATTCAGTGTGAATGTGGCAAAATGAGAAGAGGCCGCAAAAATGAGATTAACAAAGGACGCAAATAGAACTCAAAGAATTGCCTTTGGTGGAAGCCTAGGAGATAATTCATTTAAAAAAATGAAGTTGAATCCTGGCTGTGTGGCTCGGTTGGAGCATCGTTCCATGCAGCAAAAGGTTGCTAGTTCGATTCCCGGTCAGAACATATACCTAGGTTGCAGTTTTCATCCCCAGTTGGGGTACTTATGGGAGGCAACTGATTGATGTTTCTCTCTCTCTTTCTCTCCCCCCTCCCCCTCCCCCTCCTTCCTCTCTATTAAAAAATCAATGGAAATGTTTCCTTGGGTGAAGATTAAAAAACAATAACTAAATAAAAAAATAAAGTTGATCTACAGACCATGAGAGTGAAGGCAGATGTGGAAACCAGAGGTCCGTCTGTCTAGGTTGGGGTGAGGGTGGAATGGAAGAGCTGTGGGGCATCCCTGAGCTCTGTTGGGAAGACTTACAGTGACAGTGAAGTGTCTCTCCTGTGGGGGCCAGGGCTCAAGGAGAGGGAATATGGAAGCAGGGTGGGCTCACCAGTACTATACCTGCTTTTACTATCACTGCTCAGGGGCCACTTCTCCGTTGGCCTCCTGGACATGGAGGGCCAGTAGCACACTGGACATGCACCTGTTACCAAAGTAGTTGCTTCCCAGGGCAGAGAAGCCATGGGTCTTACTCCACTAGTGCAGGATAGCTCCTGTTGAGCATACGGCCACTTCCGGGTCCTGCACCCAAGTAGGGGAACCACCTCCTGCTTCACTCCCCCGGGAAGAGTAAATCAGTATTTCTGCTTATTAGAGGGACTGGTTTAATTCTTGACTTTATTGCATGAATTTCTTGAAAGAAAACCTTTGCTTCTGGGGGGGTCTTTTTCCACTTCAGTACTGAGAGTGAGGAAAGATGAGAAGGCCTAAGAGCTGCCCTTTCGTCTAAGCACATCTGTATGTGTGCAGCGGGCCAGCCAGGGCTGGGCGTGGATGACACCCCTTTGACTCACAATTTCAGAACCAGTTAAACTTGACTGGATTTAGGGTGTTCCAAGTTCATCTCAAAACATTTAAGGGCAGCTTTATTGGAAGAAGGAGCAATATTGGGGAAGTTTTACAGTAGTAAAATTGAAGACTTTTATGTATTTTAAGTTAAAAAGACCCAAAGACCTTGCAGAGTATCTCTTTCCATGATATGCTCTTCCTGGGGTGGGTTTTGTGCATGGGTGGAAGCCCCTGTGGCTCAGCCTGGGTGTGTGAGGAGAGTAAGCTGAGATGGGCAGGAGTCACCCCACTTGAGGACTTGTGGGTGCCTCTAGTTCCTTACTTTCTAGATTCACAAAGCACATTGAAATTTGGCAGAGCCTTGACCTCAGCCAGGGCTGGTATGCTATCCAGCCTGTGTAGGAAGGGTACAATGTGACTTGATTCCAGAGCCCTAAGATGGTCTTGTGTGGGCAGGAGCCTGTGTGCTTCTGTCCTGACTTTTCGGGTGCTGGGTCAGCAATGGGTCAAGAAATACTGTTCCTTAATGGCTGTGTGAACAGTTCTGCAAAAATCAAATCCAACCTTGGATTTCCGAGGGCCCCACCCCGCCACTGGGTTATAAAGCTGGAGTGGGACAGGCAGTAGCCTGGCCAGAATGATGGCCTACATTCCCACCCGGCCCTTGCGGTACCCTCATATGGGTGTCAGAGGAACAGAGGAAGCTGCTTTGCCACTTGCTAACTCTGTTGATATGGAGAATACTTTGACAGAGTTCCCATGTTGAACGGCCTTGCATGCTTGGAATAAATCCCACCTGGTCATGGTGTGTCATTCTTTTTAGACACTGCTGGATTTGATTTGCTTATGTTGAGGTTTTTTTTGCATCTAAGTTTGGAAGAGATACTGGTCTGCAGTTTTCTTTCTTTCTTTTTTTAGTATCTTTGTTTTATTTTGCTATCAAGGTAGTACTACATAGATATTAAGGTGATAATGTGTAAAATGAATTGGGAAGTTTTCTGTCCTCTTCTGTTAATTCTTCTTTGTTTGGCAGAATTCTCTAGTGAAACCACTTGGGCCTGGAGAATTCTTTTTAATTACAAATTTGACTTCTTTAATGGTTCTAGAACCATTCAGGTTGTCTGGTGGTTTGTGGTTTTTGAGGACTTGGTCCATTTCTTCTGAGTTGTTGAATTTATGAGCGTAAAGTTATAGGTGAAAGTCTCTCATTACCCTTTCCGTGGCTGCAGTGATGGCCCTTGTTTCATTCCTGAAGTGGGTGATGGTGTCTGCTCTCTCTTTATCTTTGTCCATCTATCAATTTTGTTAATTTTTTTTTTCGAAGAGGCAACTTTTTGTTTCATTGGCTTGCTCAATGGTTTTCCTGTTTTCAAGTTTACTTACTAATGTAAAGGGTATATTTTAATACGTGCAGCCAACCATGGAAGAGAAATTTTAAGAAAGGTAGGTTGGGGAGGCTCTTATGCTGGCCTATCAGCTGTGGGGCTTGAGAGGGTAGCCAAGCCACAGGTTTCAGTTCTAGATCAGAAAGGGAAAGTGCTGGAAATATGAGGCACCTTGTCTTTACTGCATTCTAGACCATGACACACTATCCTGTGATCGCCTGTGCATATGTCAGTCCCCACACAGCTCTGCAAACGCAGGGACTGTCCACAAGCAAAGTGGTACCTAAGAATCTGAGGGTATGTGGAAGCTGGGTTGTGTTGTTGTCTCACAGACACTCACTCTGTTTTTTCCCTTCCAGTTTGGCTTTAGAATAGGATGGAACTGCCCTTGCAGGTTTGGAAATGCCAGATGGACAAGTCTGGCTACAGTGTAGCAGCCCAAGGTTGGGTCACTGTGTGACAGGACCCCGTTGGCCAGGAATGTGACTTTACACTGATGTTCTTAAGCAAATGAGCACAGTTAGGAAAGCTGTGTTGTAGTGATGAACTCAACACCCAGACAATAGCTGAACTTTTATTGCCCATAAATCCTTGTTCCATGGAAGATAGGTAAGTGGAGGTGAGCAGGCATGAGTCATGGTGCCATGAGTAGGTTCTCAGCCTGGTGGATGTGCTTGCTGGTGATGGTATGTGGAGAGGTCTGAGTGCAGGTTTTAGTCATCCTTCTGAGTGATGGGATTGCTTGGCTGGATCTCTGCTTCCTGGGTCCTGA